TTCTGGGAGGAGAAGCGGACTTCAGTGCCAACGACAACTTCTTCAGTATGGGCGGAGACTCGCTTCGAGCGATGAGGCTGGTTCCTCTTGCGAGAGAAGCTGGATTGTTGCTGCACGTTCCGGACATCATGCTGAATCCTACGCTGTCGGCCATGGCAGCCAAGGCAACACCGTTGTCGGAAGAAGCAACGAACGACGTACCTGCTTTCTCCCTGATTGGGAAGGATTGGGAAGCGAAGTCGGCACAAGAAGAAACTGCCAAGCTCTGTGGTGTCGAGGTTGACGAAGTCGAGGACGTTCTTCCTTGCACGCCGCTTCAAGAAGGTCTGATGGCCCTCTCGGCCAAGTTCCAGGATGCGTATGTCGCTCAGCGAGTTGCGACTCTTCCATCAGCGACAGCTGAGCGCTTGAAGAAAGCCTTCGATGTCGCAGTTCAGGGCTCGCCCATCTTGCGCACAAGGATCGTTAACGTCTCTGGTCGCGGCCTGTTCCAGGTCGTCCTCAAGGACGGCAAGCTACTGCGCGACCATGGCTCTGATCCAGCAGAGTATCTTCGCCGCGACCGCGAAGAAGCCATGGATCTAGGAACTGCACTGTTCCGCTACGGTCTGGCTCAAGAAGCTGGTAGCGACAAGACTCACTTTGTCATCACGATGCATCACGCTGTTTACGATGGATGGTCGATGCCTCTCGTGTTTGATCGCATCAATCGCGCTTTCAACGGCCTTACAACCGAAAGACCTGTATCTTTCAAGCACTTCATCAAGCATCTCACTAGCCTTGATCCAGCGGTAGCTCGAGACTACTGGAAAGAGCGATTGAACGGCGTCAATCCGCATCAATTTCCTCCTCTACCGCAGAAGGGATATGTCACCCAGGCCGACTCATTGCTCGAGCACTATGTTACCGTCCCAACATCAGCGCACAACAAGCTCACTCTGGCAACAATCATTCGTGGCGCCTGGGCACTGACATCATCTTTGTACATGGGTCATCCCGATGTCGTGTTCGGAGAGACTTTGACTGGTCGTTCCGCGCCCGTACACGCGATTGTGGAGATCGAAGGCCCCATGATCACAACCGTTCCCATTCGCGTCCGACTGAATCTCGACCGACCAATCGCGGAGTACCTACAGGCCGTCCACGCGCAGACCGTGCAGCAAATCCCGCACGAGCACTTGGGATTGCAGAACATCCGTCGACTAAGTAAGGACGCGCGTGTAGCATGCGATCTGCGCACGGGTCTTGTTCTGCATCCCAGGGAGGACGATGACGGCGCTCCTGTCGATATGGAGACTGCCCCTGCCAACACATTCCTTCCCGCTGATGATGCAGAAGCTGCACGTGAAGCACTCAAGTTCAACACATACGCACTCATGCTCGTGTGCACATTGGACGAGAACGGCTTCTTGGTCATGGCCAGCTTCGATTCGAAGTGCATCAGCAAAGACGCGATGGAGAGGGTACTTGTCGTGTTCAATCGCATCATCACGGCTTTCTTGGGTAACCCGGAGAGCAAGCTGGGCGATGTCGCTGTTCTCGATCCCGCTGAAGCACGTGATGCGGAGGCGATGAGGCCGCGAGATGTCATGAGCGACAGTGGTGTAGGCACCTCGCCAATCGACAGCCCGACCCAAGATGCCAAGTCAAAGGCGTCGTCGCCAAACGAGCAGAAGCTGTGCAGTATTCTCAGTCGCATCCTCGGTATGCCAGAGACGGAGATTAAGCCTAGTGACAGCTTCTTTGAACTGGGTGGTGACTCCATCGGTGCAATGCGCCTCGTGTCCGATGCCCGCGCACAAGGCTTGAACCTGACGGTGGCCCAAGTCTTCCAGAGCCAGTCTTTATCCGAGTTGGCGGCTTCGACCGGCAACAAGAAGGAGGAGAAGCTGCTGGATATCCTAAGCCGCATTCTTGGCATGCCCAAGAGCGAGATCAATGGCAGCGACAGCTTCTTCGAGCTAGGAGGCGACTCTATTGGAGCCATGCGTCTCGTCTCTGACGCACGCGCTCAGGGTCTCAACATCACTGTCGCGCAAGTCTTCCAAAGCCAATCTCTTTCCGAGCTTGCTTCGTCCGCGGAGGAAGCAAATGCATCGCAGACTAACGTCAACATCGATGCGCCTTTCGCTGCGCTCGGTAAGGAAGCGTCGCTATACAGTGCCGACCGCATCGGTGCATACCTGCAAGACCAGACATGGCAAATTGCGGATATCTACCCTGCAAGACCGCTCCAACAACTCGCTGTCGAGGGTACCGTCGACTTGCCACGCTACTCACTTCGTTACGAACTCATCAAGTTCGTCACACCAGTCGATCATCAGAAGCTCGAGCAAGCTTGCCAAGAGCTCGTAGCACGCAACGAAGTCCTGCGCACTGTCTTCGTAAAAGACGAAAGCAAGGTACTCGGCGTGGTGCTGTCATCTCTGCGAGTTCCCTACACTGAGATCGCAGTGCCAGACAACGAAGACATTAACACAGTCGCCCAAGCCTTCACGAAGCAAGACATCCAAGCACCCAAGCCGCATGGCTCGTCATTCGTGTCCTTCACCCTCCTCACCAGCGCAAAGACCGGCGCTTCAACCCTCGTCTTCCGCATCTCCCACGCCCAATACGACGAGATCTGTCTTCCCATCCTGTACGAGCAGCTCTCCGCGCTATACGCAGGCACCGACGTACCAGAGACGATACCATTCAGCAAGCACGTCAACCACGTGGTTCTAGACAACATGCCAAAAGCCATCCCTTACTGGCAGAAGCTCCTCTCTGGCTCCCAGATGTCTGTCATGAAGCCCGACATTCCGCTTACACATCGCGGTCCTGCCGATGTTTACATGGAGTTCGATATCTCTGCCCGCCCGGCAAACATCACTATCGGGTCGCTGCCGACGGCTGCATGGGCGCTCGTTCTGTCACAGCGTCTTGGTCTCAAAGACGTCGTCTTTGGTGAGGTCGTCTCGGGAAGAAACATCGGTGCGGCGAACGCTGATCGCATCTTTGGACCGACATGGCAGTACATCCCCTTCCGCGTGCCATTCAAATCCAGTTGGACGTACCTCGACCTGCTGAACTTCGTGCAGCACCAGCACATTACCTCCGCGGCCTACGAGTCCATGGGCTTCACGGAGATTGTGGAGAATTGCACGGATTGGGACGCCAAGAAGGTCAACTGGTTCGATACAGTTGTTCACCAGGCACCTGCTTGGGTCGAAGAACTGCCGTTTGGTAATGGCGTTGAGGCGAAGTTCGAGACGCTGTATCCGCATGGCGAGCCGTTGAGGGAGTGGAAGTGTCAGGCCTTTGTCAAGGATGGAGGAAAGAAGTTGGGTATTGAGATTGTTACTTTTGAGGAGTGGAAGGACGTTGCTAGGGGGGTGTTGAAGGAGGTTGGTGAGGCGCTGGAGTGCTTGATGAAGGGTAAGGCGGGAGAGAAGATCTTCGATGGCGGAGATGCAGTTGTTGAGGAGGGCAAACAGAGCTTGGAGGATTTTGAGGGCGTGATGTAAGTCGCATCTCGGTGTTTGGGTAGGCGATAGTGTGATGGTACCCTTTTCCCATTTACTTCCTTGGAACTTTAATATCTCTTGCTGGGTCGTGATTATGTACGTGACTTGGCTCGATATCGCTCGTTCTTCCTTTGGTTTGCGTACCACGCCTCATCAGTTTCGTAATACCGTTGAGCATCATCCGCCGAGTACAATCACCCTGCACTTTCTTTTACCCAGGGTCGATACAGATATATGTCGTGGCTCAAAGTTCCTTGACTAGTCACCATGCGGATATGAGTTCCTAGTGATGCGATGGTATTCGTCCGCGTAGCGTTACGCACGTGCTTGTCATCGAGTCCAAGTGTGACCAAGTTCATCTCGAATAGCGTCTTCGTGCTACAAGAGTCGGTTTCGAGATAGAGTAGACGGACATGAGAGACTGTGATAGTTACCGGACGTTGTTGACATTTGACCTATGCCTCCTCTCGTTAGGTCAAACCGGCTGGTATCGTACATATACCACGGATGTGTCGTTTGAGAGTTCAATCGACACATCTACCAGTTACTCTCCATTAGTATACGCTGTTGTCTTCCATCGATCGATATACAATCCGCCACCATGAATCTTCTTCTGGCATTCGTCTCTCTCGCCGTCTTTGCAGCAGCGGCCCCTCCACAAGGGCTGAGTAAAAGACAAGGTGCTCTTACCGGTCCTATCCCCGCTCAAGGCCAAGTCGAATGCGATGGCGAACCCGGTCGCACATATTGCTTCGACGAAGTCGTTTGGGGAAAAGGTACATCATCCCTCTCGATACCTCGCCCAATCCACCTCTTTGCACTTTCCTCTTCGTTCCTCAATACTCTCAAAGAATCGCAAGGCTGATCTCCTACAGGCCAAGACTACCAGACGCTCCTTCACAGCTACTGTCAAGGGGAATACGCCCACGACGCTCTGAGCTGCCACGGATGCATGCGCCAGCCGTTCCCAACTGATCTTTGCGACGCTGGGCCAGGAGCTTGGAACTCGGCATTCTATTGTACCGAAGATGGCTACAAATTTTCGCATCGATGCCAAGATTGGTGCAAGAATGGATTGTGTGAATGATTGACGACAGCGTGGCCGATTGGGGTGGTTGAGTGCGCGGAGGGCGGTGGTTGGGAAGAGAAAGCAAGGGACTCTCTCCTTGCCCAGATAGGTTAGCTCGGTTGGCGGTGGACAAAGGCGGGATCTGCGCTCTCTTATAGATCAACCCGGTGCCCGGTATCTTTTGTGCTATGGAAAAATGTATCCCGTCGTTATCCTAAATCTTGTCCATCCCTACCTAGGTATGTGCAGATAGCATTTCGATGTCGGGAAGGGACGCGTCCTGGTCAGGGCACGTGCTTTCGTGGTTAGCGTGATTGCCCAGCATTCCATTATGCCCCGCGTCTGCCTAGCGACCTTGATCACACATCAACCCTCCACATGTCACAGAACGCTCTCGCTCTGCTCTAGTACGCGCATCCAGCACGATGGATGCGGAACTACCACACCTTCCCGCAGAGGTACATCGCCTTATCGCAGCATATGTCGACCGTGAGGATTTACCAAACTATCGGCTCGCAAGCAAACAGTTGTGCGTGATAGGTACCGAAGAACTCTTCAACACGATTGTCTTCCACTACAGTACTGCGAGCGTTGATCGCCTGCAGAAGCTCAGTGCAAATGATCGGCTTCGAAGATGTGTCAAGACCATCTTCTGGGACGACAATTTATGGCATATTTATCGCCTCGAGGGCATGCACGAATGGAAATGGTACTGGGACTTCACAGCAGGTCTTTTCCTGCCCCGACATCGCCGTAGCGACTCACAAGAGCTAGAAAAGCCGTTATATGCTCAGCTTGCGGAGGACCGACGAGAGTGGGAGGCGTATGGTGACAAAGTAAAGGACGAGAGAATCGCAAGACAAAGCATGAGCCAGTTTGAGGCGCTTGGAAACTTTCAGAACTTGCGGTCAATACACATGGTCAATGGCCAGCTCTCGCAGGCCCACCGAGGTGTGAGAAAAGTGGCGCATGCACTACCCCGCGCTTTGCCCGTACCTCCCGTGTTGCGCAGAGGAGAAGGTATCAACGCTTTCTATGCGCTACCAGGGGTTGAGGCTTTCCGGACTATACAGCAGTATTGCAAACCCTCGCTGAGAAAACTCAAGTTGGACAGAGTACAACCTCAGGCTTTCACCTCATGGGAGCCGGGTGAACTGCATTGCTTAACAAGTCTGGACATCACGATATTTGGGTTCTCCGGTGACTGGCGCTTCCAAAGTACTAAATGGACTTTGGAACTACTGATGGAAAACCTGGAGATGTTCATTGCGTGTCTACCAGAGCTCGAAAGTCTCAAAATCGGCCTGGAAAACGGGCAAGCGGAGACCACCGCACCACTTGCGAGCATTCGCCACGTATTTGCTGCTGAAACTACATGGCCTAAATTACGAAAATTATCGTTGTGTGGGTTTTCTGCTACGCCGGAGACTTTGATGTCACTTCTGAGCAGACACAGCTCCACGTTGAAGGATCTCAGGCTACGCGACATTTCCTGGAAGGCGGGCCCAAACGACGCATCAGAACAAAAGCCTGAGGTGCCATTGAGGTCTATTCGGCATTGCGCATGGCCGGGGGTACTGCAAGAGATAGCTGAGTGCTTGTCGCTAAAACGTGCGACTGTGTCGGGAACGCTTGGTGAAAACGGAGATGTGCTTGGATGGCGACTGGACAAGAACGATGAGCTCGCCGCTGATGTTGAGACCTATCTCGTCAGTGGAGGGCAGTGCCCGCTGACGGCTCACAACGCTCACTTTGCGATCGACAACTGCGAACTCCCCCCTATCTCAGTCGCATCCTAGTAGCGATTCATCAAGTACAGAAAAGCTAATTATAATAAGCTTTGAGAAAAGGCTCCCTCTGAAGATCTACACGCCACTGTTCGTCAGGGTCGCGCATAGAACATCGCGTATATTCTTAGGGCGCTTTACAGTAAGAGGCAGTACAAGACAAGTAGCTTTTGGCGATAATCTTCACGTAAGATACAGTCAGAACCCACAAAGATGAGGATATGGGGTCGGTGTCTTACATGCCGTCGTTACTGTTACAATATCGCCTGTTTCAGCCACTTTCATTACATGAAGGGGCCATGCGACCCAATCGTACCAGTCGCACATAGTCTCACAATCGACAGGACGTTCTCATGGATACACATGTCATTCTAATAAAATATTTACAGAAGCGCTAAGAACACGAAAAGGCGTAAACGGGCACTGCCACCCAAGCAACGCTAAGCACAAAAGCCAAACAAGTTCTAGTAGTTGTACTTGTAGCACAGCGTCGTTCCAGTGGTGTCGAGGACATCCCTGACCTTGACATCAGGGCGGATACCGTAGACGTTGATGTTGGTGTCGAGGGTAAGGGCGCGGCCAGATGCGTCGTTGCCGTTGATGGTGTTGACACGAGCACCGTTGGCGTTCTGCCAGATGCGGAAGTTGCGGTCGACGAAAGCGTGGTGGAGCCAGAAGATGGGGTCGGCGGGCGAACCGTACGTGTCTTGCATGACAGCGCCGATACCGTTGTGGCCCCAGGCGTGGGGGCCGCCCTCTGCGCATTGGGCCATGCCGGCGAAGTCGCCGTAGGCGTTGCATTGGTTCACGTAGTCGGAGTTGCAGTATTGGGTCTTGGCGGCATCGCCGTTGCGGGCAAGGCAATGGGGCGTGTTGCCTGAACCGGGGCCAATGTTGATGGCAAGGTTGGCGAATGCCTGCAGAATGTTAGTTGCTTGACTATAGGAGGCGTGTTGGACAATGGGGTTGTACTTACGCCATTGGTTACACAGTTCCCGCCGAGGGCAATGCCTCCGAACCACTTGGCTGAGAAGATGGACGATGCCGAAAAGCGACCGGCGTACTTGGTCTCGTCGAACCAGGGCATGGTTTGGCTGAAGCCACATTCTGAGCGTAGAATGTCCTCGAAGACCCAGGTGTAGTATCGGTGCCAGAGCAAGAATTTGGAGTTTCCGTGCACGTTGGGTGTCAGGGTCTGGTGGAGGGCGACGAGATCCTCATACCGGCTCTTGGCTGCGGGGAACTGGCCTGAGGGAGCGCGGCCCATCAAGCACTTGATGGCATCCACGAATTGTTGCTTGCTGCTGTCGGGGTAAGAGTCCCACTCAACGCGGACGCGGGGGTTGGCGCATGTTGCAGCGGCAGCGAGAGTAGAAACGCGGAAGTTTTGGTTTTGCGCAGCAGGCTCCTCTGGTTGTGTGGCATTGTGCTCCTCGAATATCCGCTTGGCATCCGCGAGAGGAACAGGCTGAACGAACTTTGGTGTCTCGGCGAAGATGTTGAGGGGTAGGGCCTTGATGAGCTTGGTCAGGGGAAGTTCCTGAGGCGATGGAAGCGCAGAAACGCTGGCTACAACAGCCAAGGTGGCGGACAAGATTGAGGTACGCATGATTAAGGTATAAGTATTAAAAAGGTACTAAGATCCCGATTGACAGTAGCAGGAAAGCGAAGGACGACAACCTAAAAGCGAATGCGGTTGCTTGGTGTGATTGTTGAGCGAGCTGTACAAAAAGATCCCGACATGCAGGACGGCCAGTCATCCTTATACCTGGGACCTGCATCTTCCGCCTTACCGCCCGACTATCCACAGCGCGCGCGCCTCGTACTGCAGATCATTCGCAGTGCGCTTGACGAGCCGTCTCACCAGCGACACCTGATGATCGGTCATGGAAATACGAAGCACGCATGTACCGTGGGCGTGAATTCGGCCTAGGCCTGCAACGTAGTATTGGAAAGTAAGTAAGCGTGCGCGAGCTACAGCAGAGGGAACAAATGATAAGTGGGAGGCTATACTGCTTTTGGGCCGTGGCTCATCAAACGCTGGCCGGGCGCCCAGGTCAGGCCAACCTCGGGCTTGACAGTCTACACACGAGGATAATGCTGCTTGCCGTGGGCTCCTGGGCCTGAGCCGACCCCGAGTTGCGCGGAAATTGTCAGCGCGCGCTGACGTGAACGAACTACTGTGGAGCTTGTCGCTTTTCCTGGGCTGCCCACGCTGCGTTCACGAGGCGGACCTGCCGGCTGCCGGAATGCAGGGCCGCCTTGATTGGATGGCGCATCGTGTTTTTCTCTTCGCTTCCAGATGCCGTGCAGCCAAATATAGCTCTCAGGAACGCCCTCGGTATCTAGCAATGTCTAGTAATGCTCCGGTCAACATGGCGTCCGCCAGCGTGCCATACCTACTGTCATGCAGACTGTCACATCGCGCGCGCGGGTGAGTTGTCAATTGAATACGGCAGCGTCATCTCGACTGAAGGATTTGCTAGTATCGCCCTTCGCCCGTTCAGCTGAGATTAGAATGCCACAATCCATTGTGCGACGGCAAGATAGCAGCCGTTGCCGTTGCAAACAAAGTGGCTGTGATTTGAAAGGGGGATCTGCGGCCAGCATGCACTTCCTGTCGCTAAACACCCAACCCCCAGCGCCTCACATAAAGGCGCTCCACACACATGCGGGAATAACCTCGCACAAAGCATCCCGAACAATCCACTATCGCCTTATCACGCAAACTCCCCATCGCAATCTCCTCGCGCACAGGCTTATCGGCCGTCTATTTCGAGTGGCGAGCTCCACTTCGCATCGTGACGCCCCAATGCCTCGTCGTACGAGGTCCAATTCCACAGTACGAAGACAGCATGGTGATGATGTTGGAAAGTGCGAGAGGGCGAAGGAGGAATACGGTCTACCCCGCCAGCTACTCAGCGCTAGCCAGCGCCGACACGAGAAAAACAATAACACTACTGCTCGAGGGCTGAAGAAGGCTGAGCTTAGTACCTGCGAGGCGTGCGAAAAAAACCCATCCCGAGTAAGATTCTTTTCAGCAATCGAAACGGCGAGCCCGGCGTGCCGCGATGCTTCTTTCACCGCCAGACAACTCACCAGTGCAAACCCCAAGCAATGCCGCAACGGGCATGTGCCACATGAGCAAAGAAGAAAAACGTTCAATCTATGTGTAGAACGCATGTTCGCGCTACTATAGGGCCGTGTCTCAGCCTCATGGGACTGTTGTTCGGTTACACATAACCCACTAGCTAGAGCCTACCAGCGTCTCTACCAGCGGCAGCGTCCCCAACGAGGAAAGTCACACGGCTGGGCTGGAGAACATCGGTACTGGTACCGCTCGCGATGCGTGCACGTGGCAAATCGAGCATATGATGCTTTTGTGCTCTCATCAGCAATGTAACCCGCGCTACGCCTCGCAAGCATTCGTAGTCGACCCAGATGGTGTTTTGGAAACCGAGTACGTTCTTACAACTCCGACAGAACAATATTGCCGCCGCGCGGAGATCAGCGGTCTTCCGCGATCTAGGTCTGAGAAGCCGAGAACTGTATATGCTTGTTCGTGCAGGCCTTCTTTTTTCCGTTGCCACGCTTCGATTAGCAGTTTTGGTTGGCGCAGTGATGCTGGGTTTGGGAAGCCGAGTATATACTGCGGCGCATGCTTCTCGATGTTCTTCAACATGGGCCTGTTCCTGCCACGCTGAACTCCGCAGTTTCGGTATGCGATGCATTGTCTCGAAATGGAGTCGTCATCATCTATGAGGTGCGCATTGAGCCTGTAGTGGTCAATTTCATTACGTCTTACAGTCGTAAGACTCGTCGCATTCACCTAAAATGTCAAGTTACACAGCAGGCTATACATTGCTCAATTTGTTCGGACGTTGGTTTTGAAGTGCGTCAATACAAGACATGGTTTACCCGGAGGCCGAAATTGATGACATGAACCTTGCTTCCGATACTTTCGGTGACATGTCGGTTCCCTCCCTTCCGCGTTATGTCGACATCTGCCGCAACCCGCCGTAAGACCTAACAAGTGCATCAGCACTACGGCAATGAGAAGCGCATCTCACCCAGCCCTGGTCATGTCTTAATCAGACTACACGTCGTGTGACCCTGACCGAAAAGTCCTCCATAATCCACATCCCGGCATTGTATATCTTCGCCGCTTCATGCGGATGTACGATCGAGAAATCGAACCTCCTCAGTAGCTCGACAAACACCTTGTTGAATTCCATCAACGCGACGTTCTGGCCCAAGCACTTATATTTCCCGTAGTGGAAGACTAGGTCCACGGTACTGGCCATGTGCGCAAGACGTGCAGGATCTTCCGAAGCGTCCAGCCAACGTTCTGGCCTGAAGAGCTCAGCATCTGGGCCGAAGATATCTGTAGAGTGCTGGATGCTGAGATATGAAGACCCAATCTGCGTGCCTGCGGGGATGAATTTGCCGGCAAGGATATCACCGCCTGCAGGAACGGCTTTGAAGTTCGACCCACTCGCTGGAGGCAGAATGCGCAAGCCCTCTTTGATAGTAGCCTGGAGGTACGGTAGTTGTCGCGCCTCAGCATCCGTAATAGGCGAGGAAATCGTCCCAGCAGCGATGCCGTCGTCGATCTCCGCTTGTAGTCTTCTATAAGAAGACGCATTAGCCAGCGTATGAAGCATAACAGCGCGAATCGTAGACGCCGAAGTATCGCTACCAGCGATAATCTGCAGGAGCGCCTCGCTCGATGCTTCTTCCGGCGTAAGACCATGACGAATAAAAGATCCGAGCATATCGGACTTGGGCTTGGAGTCCTCGGATGCAAACCGCTCCGCGACCGCCTTCCTTGCAACGTTGATGAAAGCCCCGAAGCCGAGCTTGTCGCTCTCTTTGGGAAGCACGCCTCTCAACAGGCGCGAATGTAACAGATTCGCCAGCCAAGGTACGTACGAAAGCGCCATCATGACGGGAACGTATGTCGTGGTGATCTTGATGTAATCGTGGAGATCGACGTCTTGCTTTAGATAACCCATCGGTTTCCCGAATGCCAATGCGCTGATGACGTCCAGGGTGAAGTACTGCGTTTTGAGCGCTAAATCCATGGGCCGGTATTCGGTCGCGGTGGAAATATACTTCCTCTCGATCAAATCGATGAACGCAGCAACCTGTTCATCAACAGTGCCTTCCATAGACTCATTCTCCTTCCCAGAGTAGCCAGGAGCCATCTTATTCCTCAACTTCAAATGCGCCACCTCGTCGCGCATGGAGAAGAGATTGTCGCGTCCAGGCTCCAGCTTCATCGCATCGTACCATGGCCCTCGTGTGTACTCTGATCGCACTGCTGTCGTTCGGCGCACAATGTCTGGGTCGCTGGTGACCAGGTCAGTTGGGCTAACGCGTACCAGCGAGCCATATTTGTCGGTTAGTTCTTTCGTCGCGAAAGGCAGTTGTCCTTTGAGCGATTTCGATATGATCCAGTAGGTGGAGATTGATGCCCAAAAGGGTCCGGGGATGTGCGATAGACGGTACCATTGCAGTGCGACGCGGGTGAGGTATGTCAGCAGTAGTGCGGTTGGTACGCCAATCGCGACGAGGCTGTTGTAATTGATCAGCGTGGGGCTGGCCCCGCCGTCGTCAACGCTACCCGCCATTCTACGACGGAATACACTGAAGGAGGGGGAATACTGTGCGATGCGCATCTCCTCTCGCGACGCATCATATATGTCTTGCCCATTGCATTGCTGGGCGTAAGCATGTTTTGTCGTGCATTATCGCACGGCAGACATCTCTCGCTGCTTGAGTCCCTTCCCGTACTAGCACAGCATGTACAAGGTTCATACCCAACCACTCAGCGCGGCTGCGCAGTTGCCAAACCCGTTGCTATGCCTTCAGATTCTGTATTTAGCGATAATTACAGTGTCGTCGACTCCGCATCTGCTAAGGAAAAGATCTTCGAGCATGTTGACGTCCTCATCACATCGTAGCCAGATGTTCCATTGATTAGAAGCGTTGCTAAGACACCACCCTGACATACAAATATTGGAACTCTCGAAAGATTACCCCGCAGAGCTGAGTTCATACCCCTGGTACCGCGACGATCAAAATCCGCGTCATTGTGCAAAGTGGGGCGGGAACCACCACCTGGGCAGTTCTCCGTGTCGTGGATTGAAACGCTACGAATAATTCCACTAACGATCCCGCGTGCGAAAGGGCAGAATTTCGAAACAAGAACTCTACAGCGTAAGGAAGGATTGCGCCTTCCTAGGTGTTCACAATGATTCTCAGTCTGGCAGGTATGACTTAGGACTTGTAGTATACGTCTTCGTCGTTACTTGTGAAGGTCGATACTCGATCTCTCTACCCAGCGTTAAGTACCGCATACGACTCATTCCTACCATGTTACTGTTGAATCTTGTGATATCATGCCCTTTTCGCGCAAGATTGAAATGTTACGGTCGGGTACGTCGCTAACAGTCAATGCTCCGGTAGTGTACAACATTGGACGTGCTGAAGAATGTAAATTCGACCGCTGGACAGTACCAGCTCAGTCTTAGAGTTTGTTGCCTTATCACAAGGTTCTATTTCGTAGTATGTTTTCTTCTTCACTCGGTTCGAAAGTAGACAGTGCGATATGGCTTCTCTACTGTCGGTCTCACTGTGGTACTTTCACGGTGTACCTGCATCTGCGCAGGCATTGACTCCAGTCTTTCACCAAGTACGAGGAAAGGGCGAAATCACTTGCGCCAGCCTTTGTTCGGTCTGCCAGACTTTGTTCAAACACCAAAGTCTCTCTTGCACACCAGTCATTCTGTTAAGTACTTCCGCACAACCTTTCTCTTCATGCATCATTCGGATAGCGCATCTGAATTTCTCCATGCGAGTTTTCTTTGCACGATCGGCTCGTAAGCCTCGCGTCATCTTCATCGTCGGAGTAGCACTCTTGCTAGCATATGCCTTCGCAAGGAACCTCTACACACTACTAGCGTCCCAACAGCGCTCTCAACCCGACTATGCTTCCGCAAAGAACCGCGCGCCGTACCCGCCCGCAGCCATAGGCAAAAACGTAACTTGGACAGACTACGCATACGTACAATACGTGACAGATCCAAGCTATCTGTGCAACTCTCTCATGATATTCGAGGCCCTCAGGCGACACGGAACAAGAGCAGAACTCCTCATGCTGTACCCGCAGGAATGGGAAGTGCCCGGTGGTGTATTCGAAGATGAGGCTGATGCTACCGACTACGAAGGAAAGCTGCTTGCTCGGGCTCGGGACAGATATGGGGCAAGGTTAAGCCCTATCCAGGTACAGACTTATGAGAACAAGAATGATACGACTTGGCAGAGTAGCTATACGAAGCTGTTGGCATTTAACCAGACTCAGTATAAGCGTGTCATTGCTTTGGACTCTGATGGAACGCTTTTCAATGTAGGTTACTCCCTTTCTCCGAACCACGATAGTGGTGTTTGACACAACGACCCTGGCTAACGATTAGCAGAATATGGATGAACTTTTCTTCCTCCCCACATCTCCAGTTGCGATGCCTCGCGCATACTGGCTCGATCGGTTTTACTTGTCATCCCTACTTGTAGTCATCGAGCCGTCAGTAGAAAGTTGGCAGCGGGTACAGAGCGCGATGGAAAACCACGAGGGCCATGACTACGATATGGAAATCTTGAACAAGGTGTTTGGTGACTCTGCAATAGTGATCCCACCTCGCAGATACGCTCTTTTGACTCAGACGTTTGGCCATGAAGATGCCGAGCGTGAGGCATACCTCGGTTCGCCGTCGGAAGAATGGAATGCAAGAAAACTGTTGGAGGAATCCAAGTTCATCCACTTCTCAGATTGGCCATTGCCGAAGCCTTGGTTGAAAGCGACAGAGAAGCAGATTGCGGAACAACAACCTCCATGCAGATCGGTACCGGAAGGCAAGCCAGATTGTACAGACCAGGAGGCGTGGTTGAAGCTTAGGAACGACTTCTCTGAGCGGCGTCTGGTAAGTTATGATTTGATCTTCCATCCCCTGATACTGACAAATCGTAGCGCATTTGTGGGAGAGCCTATGATACACCGGTCTTGCGCAGCAACGCCCGTTCAGATGGCGATTGATGTGCTGGAAATTGTTTGAGCTAGCGATCGTGCTAATAGGAGCGGGCTCCCTCATGGCGCGAAATACTGATTCTGTGCAATTGATAACCGTATATCATATAAACCTATTGCATTGTGAAAGGTTTCTCGATATCAGGCTGCGCGAGGTCGTCGACTGCTTGGTGGGTGTTGTGGTAGCGAAATTGCGGAGAAGGAGCCGTGGGACCATCCAAGCAACTAACGATAGCTCCCTGCGAGCTTGGTCAGCAGGACTGTATGTGATTACTATATGCGTCATATGCCAATGTTGGTACCTATAAATGCTGCGGTACCACAATGTTACGATACGTGCGAAATCTCCAAAGATTGAATCTATACACATATAGCCGCAAAAAGATGTCGCATCTTCAGTACTACGCGTACCCCGGCAAGGGCGAGTCTGCCAGAGAGAACACCAGATACAGCCAGTCTGTTCGTATCGGCGACCGCATCGAATGTGCAGGCCAAGGTATTCTACATCCATACTTTACATGAGCTCAGCACGCTGATGACTGCGATCGTAGGTGGATGGGATCCGATGACCAGACTCATACCCGCAGACATCGACGCTCAGATCGACCAAGCTTTCCAAAATGTGGAACTTGCTCTGAAGACCGCTGGTGGGAAGGGTTGGTCGCAGGTGTTCCGCGTAAACTCTTACCACATCCCTATGGACAACGAGGCCTTGGGGGCTATGGTGCGAAATTTCAAGAAATGGATGCCGGATCATCAGCCTATCTGGACGTGTGTTGGCGTTGTCAAACTAGGCGAGGATGCTATGAGGGTGGAGATTGAGGTTTCGGCTCATGATCCTAAATAAAGGACGGTGATGGAAGGATCGACGAGAGCATGTTGCACGCGTCCCTTAGGGAGCCGTGGATGGATTCAAAAGGACGATGTTTGTAGCCTATATGGGTGGAGGGCGATCTCTCACATGAGCGTTGGGTTTATGTAAAGAGCCCAATTCGAATTGCAATTAGTTTGCATCGATCCGAGATGGCGTGTAATGCGTGATGTGGAAGGTGCAGACGCTGGGATTGAACACGTGAAAGGGCGACGAGGCTTGCCAAGACCATCGGCGCATCCATCGCCGACGGGATTCTTCCAGTTCTAGCTCTTGCGACGCGCTCCGTACTCCACGCGCAACTTCGCTACCAACTCCATCAATCCCAATATTTCATTTCTGCGCCTAGACGAGCACTTAATACACGATGCCGAAGTTCTTCTGCGACTACTGCGATGTCTACCTCACCCACGACAGTATGAGCGTGCGGAAGGCGCACAACAACGGCCGCAACCACCTCCGCAACGTCCAGGCCTACTACGAGCAGATATCGAGCGACCAGACACAGCAAGTCATCAATAGTATTACCGACGCATACAACACAGAAGGCCAAGCCAACCCGCTGTTCCAACAGAACCTGGCTGGAGGCTTCCCTGGCGGACCTATGGGCGGGATGCCCCCAATGGGAATGCCACCGATGGGTATGCCTGGGTTCCCGCCGCCAGGAATGCCACCCATGGGTGGAATGCCTCCAAATTTCATGGGCCGTGGAGGTCGTAAGTTGCCGCATATTTACCCCACACGATCTTATACTGACAGCGCGACAGCTCCAATGCCACCCAACGGAATGCCACCCTTCCCTCCGCCAAACGGTATGCCCCCGGGCCCTGGCGGTATGCCGCCCTTCCCACCACCGCACATGGGAGGCGGTCCACCTCAAGGAATGCCGCCCTTCCCTTTCCCACCACCAGGACAGGCAGGCTCACCCCCTGGAGGTATGCCGTACCCACCACCGGGTGGTATGGGAATGCCACCTGGAGGTCCTCCTGGCAGATACCCTCCTGGACCACCGGGACGTTAGGAGCGACCTGGTGCACATGGAGGAATGATACCTGCCTTTGGTCACGACAACTACGCAGCTGAGGCCCTTGAGGTGGGAATGAAGAGGAAGAGGCAGAATGATGAAGATATACCCGGAGTTTCCATGAGGGGTGGTGGACGAGAAGGAGGTGGAGCAGCTACAGGCGCGAATGCTATAGTCCCGACACGGATCAAGAGGGTATAGCGCAGGCTGGGGCCATACGCTAGGGGAAGCGAGAGCAGTGAGACGGCTGTGAAGGCACACGGGAACAAGTACGTCCCATCCCCAGGCTGTCGCGATGCTTTTGGCTCACGCTCATGTAGTATTACTTGCCAAAAAGCTCATCAGTAATTACACGTAATGCGGTTTACGAAATCTACATCGAAACTTACAACACGCTCATTGCTTCCAATTCCCGACCACCTTCTATCTATTGAATAGACTTCTGGCAAACGTTTCAACATCCATCATGTCCACGCTCAGCTCGTTATTCACCGTCCTGTCCATACTCCACCACACACCATCCCTAGCGAAAACCAGCCTGTACTTCTTGATACCGTCTTCTGGCGCTGACTCAAGCTCCTTCTTCAAGTGCTCAATACTCCACGTCTCCTGCTCAACCTGCTTCCCGCTCACCCGCTTGACAAGATCAGCCAGCTGCTCGTAACTAATCGTATCACCCGCAATATACAATACACGGTCCCCGGCTTCCACATCCCCCGCTATGACCCTCGCCAACACCCGTCCAATATCATTCACATCCGTCACAGTAACCTTGTGGTCCCAATCCCTCAAACACCTCACCACCACTTTCCCTTCCTCCTCTTTACTCCTATCCACGACCCCCCAAAACTGTTCGAAAAGGAACGACATGAAAATCCCCGTACTAACGACCGTCCACTTGACATTACTCGCTCCAGCCCTCTCCCTCAACAAATTCCTCACATCGCGCTGCGCACCGAACAACGGCATCATCCCCTCTCCATCACCAATGACATCGTAATCAACCCCCCACTGCCAGGGAAAGAACCAAAATTTCCCTTTGCCCTGCTTTTTTCTGATTTTGCCAGCCAATAGGGCTTCCTTAGCGAGTTTGAGGACTGTGCTGGGGTCGGCGCCGAAGCCTGTCGCGGAGATAAGGATGTCGTATGCGGAGAAGGTTTTGGCGAGCGAGAGAGAGGGGGAGGATAGGTCGATGGCTGTGAGGGAGATGTTGGGGGATTGTAGGTGAGTGTATTTGGATGGGGAGCGGATGCCGACTGTGATGTGGGTGTCGGGGAGGGCGGAGAGGTAAGGGAGGAAGGCTTTTCCTAGTTCGCCGGCGCCGAGGAGGAGGATTTGAGTTTGGGGGGAGGTCATTTTGGAGGAATGGTTGATGGTGTGGTATGTGAGTGGTATGAGATGGATGTTATCTTAATGGAAGGAGGTGTAGGATTTCACGTTAGGTAGAGCCTTCTTCTTATATGTACGTGGATATAAGTCATCATGTTAGATCAAGAGCAGGATCAGGTCATCTCTATCACATGCGAGGTATGCAGTCCTATGCTTTTGTACATGCTTCTAGGTGGTGGGGAAGTAGCACGGAGATAAGACTTGAGAGACCGGAGTTAGTCGGCTTTGGATGAAAGTTGTGAAGTCAGGGAAGGAACGAGTAGAACTGTTTTTCCCAGCTTCAATCATACACTGATGAGATGCTTAAGAAGACAAATCAACGTCAATGCTTATGTAATAAAGGCGATAGTATGGCACAAATTGCACAGGTGAGATACGCGCAAGCAAGTTGACCCCTCTATACCTGACTTTAGAGTGAGTTGTTAAGAATCCAAGATCGCGTGGAGTGGCGTCATGCGGTAAAGTACTATCCATTAGGGCTGTATTACTCACTACAGGTACCTTGTTAGTGGCTTGACAATGTCATGTCCAAGTGAGGTCAAATGTCGAGTAAGGGCATCAGTGCTGACGGTCCACGCTAAGCCCAAATGACGCTAGTGGTTCGCCTATCAACCTTGGAATTTTGAAGCCTCCAGCCTTTGTGCGCAGTGCTCTTCGACGAACAACTATTAACACCCGAGTGCGCCTACGTCCATCCCAAGCAGAAGCCACTCATCGCAATCATGGCCGAGCAACTCGTACTCCGTGGCACCCTCGAGGGCCACTCCGGCTGGGTCACCTCCCTGGCTACCTCCCTGGAGAAGTGCGTATACGCGGCAAGAGGGAAAATGCACGAATGCGCAATACTGACACGCGATTAGCCCCAACATGCTCCTGTCCGGATCGCGCGACAAGACTCTGATCATCTGGAACCTGACCCGCGACGAGACCTCCTACGGTTACCCCAAGAGGAGTCTGCACGGTCACTCCCACATTGTCTCCGACTGTGTACGTTCACCACAAAATTGGGCAATTGGCTAGCTAGGAAGCGACGACGGCTGAGCTGACAATTGCTGCACAGGTCATCTCCTCTGACGGCGCCTACGCTCTTTCCTCATCGTGGGACAAGACCCTCCGCCTCTGGGAGCTCTCCACCGGTGTAACCACCCGCCGCTTCGTCGGCCACACCAACGACGTTCTCTCCGTCTCCTTCTCCGCCGACAACCGCCAGATCGTCTCCGGATCGCGCGACCGAACCATCAAGCTCTGGAACACCCTCGGTGACTGCAAGTACACCATCACCGACAAGGGCCACACCGAGTGGGTCTCGTGCGTCCGCTTCTCCCCCAACCCCCAGAACCCCGTCATCGTCTCTGCTGGTTGGGACAAGCTCGTCAAGGTGCGTACATCCGCGTTTACACCAATTCTTCCATTTCCTTGTTTATATGATGAATATCTATGTATTTGCTACTTCAGAGCTTCGGCTATGAGACAATTATCACCTAGTACTGATTTACGCTCCTCACTCGATCTTCTTCAAGCCGCTTGAGATTCGGGAAGCTGACAATATCCAGGTCTGGGAACTCGCTTCCTGCCGCATCCAGACCGACCACATCGGTCACACTGGTTACATCAACACCGTCACCATCTCGCCCGATGGCTCCCTCTGCGCCTCCGGTGGTAAGGACGGAACCACCATGCTGTGGGACCTGAACGAGTCCAAGCACCTCTACTCTCTCTCCGCCGGTGACGAGATCCACGCCCTTGTCTTCTCCCCCAACCGCTACTGGCTGTGCGCTGCCACCGCCTCCAGCATCATCATCTTCGACCTCGAGAAGAAGTCCAAGGTTGACGAGCTCAAGCCTGAGTACATGGAGGTTGGCAAGAAGAGCCGGGAGCCCGAGTGTGTCTCCTTGGCCTGGAGCGCCGACGGCCAGACCCTGTTCGCCGGATACACCGACAACCGTATCCGCTGCTGGGGTGTCATGGCGAGGGGATAAGGTAGTGCATGTTGGGTAGTGCAACGGGGCGTAACGGGAAAATCACGATTCCACATCTTCTGTAGCATGCCATGGGTTATGATTGATGCTCATGCGGGATGGGTTTGGGACTCTTCCGGCATTACCACGTCCAGGCGCTTAGAGTCAATGAAAATTCTCAAGTCCAAAAGTGGTTGCTTGCCATGCGTGGTGGTTTATGTTTTCGTATGTGGGCTATGGAATGTTAAGGTTGCTCACTGAGATGTCCTCCGCGACAAACGAAGTGTCTCGCTGCTCGGATATGGTATGGGATAAAAGTCTTTCATATGATAATCGCATCCCAGGATCTTTCCAACACACATGCGATTGCCTTTCTACAGCTTGCTGAACTTGGGCGATGTCTTCTTCAACCCACTCATCATAGCATCCTTGACATCCGCCGTCTGCAACATAGCCGCATTCCACACAGCCGTGTAGTTCAAGCCCTCACTAATTGGCCTATCCCTGGAGTAATTGATAATCTCCTTGGTCCCCAGCACCGCCACGGGTGACTTTGACGCAATCAACGTTGCCAATTTGGTCGCTTCAGTAACCGCCTCCTGCTTATCCTTGTACACCTTCGACACAAGCCCATGCTGCAGCGCTTCATCCGACCCAAAGATCCGCGCAGACAACGCAATATCCTTAACCCAGGATAGGTTTCCAACAGAATGAGGCAGACGCGATAAAGTACCAATATCAGCCGCAAGCCCTATATCCACCTCCTTCACACTAAACCTCGTCGTCGTCGTACTCACACGGATATCACACGCTAGTGACATATCCAGCGCTAGACCGAAGGACACGCCGTGCAGCACGCAGATAACGGGTTTCTCGCATTTCTCGATGTCGGTGATGCAGGATTGGAATTCTAGGATGTGTCGACGGAGGGCGTTGGCTTTGCGCGCGGAGTCCAGGGTGGAGGCTGAAGGGGATAAGGCGCCACCTTCTGAGGCCGCTTGTACGTCGAGGCCGGCGGTGAAGGCGCGGTCGCCGGCGCCGGTTAGGAGGACGGCGCGGACGGAGGGGTCGTGGGAGAGTTGGCGGAAGAGGGTGGAGAGGTTTAGCCACATGCTTGAGGGCGTTAGTTTGGGATTTTGCGTTTGACATGGCGCAGACGCCGAGGATGAATTGAATATCGATGGTAGAACATGCTCAAGGTAAAACCTTTGGCATAATATCGCAATACCAATGCGTGTCCTTCTCTTTCATGATGACACGTGATACGCGTGGATTCCGGACCCATAAACCCGGACCTTCCGTGAAGCAAAGGAAATGCTGTTTGTACTTACACCTCTTTGAAAGCATTCAGCTTCTCCGGTCTGTTGATTTCAACATGCGCAACATATTCCGCTGGAAAGGAAACGTTGAAGAACTCCTTCTGGTATGCTTCCGCCATTGTTGTTTCGTGATCGCGTGGTCTCGTCCAATTTCCAATGTCCTGTGCCCTTGCTCTTTCTCTTCTCTTATGAAGCTGTTATAAAGTTCCTGGTCCAAAAGCCGAAGTAAACCGTGAGGAATAACGCCGATACGTCCGTAAGATGAGGAGTGAGATGTCGTCGGCTCTGATGATCTGGGCGGGCGAGTCGTTCGGTTGGAGCTTGTGATGATCGAGCCGAGGTAGAACGAAGGCGGCTAGCGGGCTTCCGATCTCGTGGCTAGGTCGGTTTACCTCCAACGGCTGACACGCGGACAGACCGTTAGCATCGAAATGCTACCTTCAGCGACCAGCGATAACAAAGTCCCGGTGAGGCTATGACATCTCAGAAGAAATCAAAGGTCCGCTCGAGGGTGAACTTCAGTGGTAGGATGGCTCACCAACAATACGCTATTGTGCACCACCCTTGCAGTTCTGCAGTACATAGGTATAGTAACATTCATCTTTAGTTGCCATCTGACTTCTAGGAGTTTTGGAGTTTCGACATGGCGATTTTGATTTAAATTTGGAAGGTAAGCCTGCGAGGCTGTATGGCATGCGAGACGACAAGGCTGTGGCTGCCTAGTCATCTGACAATCTTCAGCCTGGTGTGCGCTTGATCTTTAGATTCCATCACAGTCTTCCGTCTCTCATCCTATCTTCAAGAGCTACAGGTTGTTTCTGCCGCTTCTTCATCGTCTGCTAATAGCAATCTTATTCACTTCGTCGCGATTGAACAAGAGGTCATCATGTCAAACATCTTACCGGACGTGTGGGAATGTCCTAATACCTATGGTGGATGTGAGGATACTTTAAATCCCTCATGGCATACTCATTGCCCAATATGTGGCGCTGCCAGGGGTGAGCCTTCTCCAAAAACGAAAGTCGATCGAGTTCCGAGGGAGAGGGTATCATCTTCCGCCCCTGACCTCATTGATACTGACAACATCAACGATGCCACCATGTCAGACTCTAACGTGGGAGACCGGAAATTCACGGCCGGGTCGAGTGAGACGATTGGTTCTTGGTCTCGACTAATCAACACTCATCAAATGCCACCAGATGCTGCCGCGGCGTTTGAATCAGCTACGGAGAACAAAAATAAGCAGTTCGATACCCGCGATCGTCAGGTTTCAGACCCCACGGAGACCGCCGAGAACGCACCCTTGACTCCCCTGGGACATCGAACAACATTGTACGACGAATATGAGCCCGTTCCCCGTGAGTTCTTCGAGCCTCCACTGGAAGCGGGTTGGAAGCGGCTAAGATTTCAATGTGTAAGTGTCGGACTAGGTAAATTTGTGGCGGAACCTCACTGATCTCAGGCGCAGAGCTGTGGTGGTTACTTCTACGACGATTTCCTCGAACAAAGAACTGATGGCATTGCGGCACTGATACACGAGATACGACAGTCTTTACCGAACACAAAGATAACAACTTCTCCTGTTCAAGAAGATTTTCGCGATCTTCTAAGAACTGATCGCATCGCGGCTCTGTTACGAGTGTTACGAGTGTTACGACAGTCTTTACCAAACGTCAAGATAACGGCTATT